GAGAGAGTCCTTGCAGGCCTGGGGGAAAGGGGTTGGATGATCTCACCTAAGAGGTTGGGGGTCACTCAGGTACCTCAGTTGCTGTTTTGAGAACAGACGAGAGAACAGCAAGGTGAAATTAAAGAGATGAGTCAGACTAATGCAATTATCCAGTCAAGATTTGAGGCCTGCATTAGTCACTTTCTGGGTGGAGGGCTAAAGTACCCCACATTTGCACTTTAAAGGAGAAGAGGTTTACTTAGGTCATGGTTTCCACAAGGTTCAATACAGGGTCCCCTGGATCCAAGGCCAAAATGGCATGGGGGAGTACAGCTGTCCATCCCATGGCAACCTGGAAACAGAGGAAGGGGAGGAGGTAGGGACAGGAAGAGACCTTTCCAGTTCTCTTCCCCAGTGAACCGACCCCTAGCAACCACGTCTTCCAGGGGAGCACTCAGTGGTGCCTCCCTATTCCAGTGACAGGTCAAGGCTCCATGAAACTCTGGAGAAACATTTTACACCCATAATAGCCTTCTTTTTCTGGTCCCCGAAAGGTTCATGTTCATCTCATTATGCAAAATGCATTTAATCTGATTGTTAGAGTCACCATGCTTTCAACATTTCCAGACCGCTGAAAAGTTCAAATCTAAAATCTCCTCCAAGACACAATGCAAACTTTTACCAATGAGCCTTTATGAAAATCAAAAAGAAAGTTAAGCACTTCCAACACAGAATGGCACAGGGAAGACAGTCCATTTCAAGAAGGAATAGGGGTATAGAAAAAAATTGTACTCAGCCAGACCAAAGCCCAGCAAGACAAACATTAAATCCCCTTAGCTACAAGTCTGACATCTAGGGTGCAAGGTGGTGAGATGTGAGTTCCACAAGTCTTGGGCTGCCCTTCCATCATGGCCTTGTTTATCATCCCTGTGAGCTCTCTCTTGGGCTGCTTCCTCTCACTGCCTGAGATTTTCCTCAGGGGACAGTCCACATCCCTAGTATCTTCCACTGTTTGGGGTCTCCAAAATACCTTCAGCTTCACTCTCATGACTTCACATATAGTCCTATCAGAGTGATGTTCCCTGGCCTCCTGGACCTTTCTTTGAATTCTAGGTGGAATCATCATGACCTTTCTTTCTAAATGCCTGTAAAACCAGCAACAAGGAGATGATACCAAGGTATGTTATCAATCTAAGCATTAGCCGATATCCCTTGGATCATGGTTACAGATGCTGAGTTACTTACATGGCTTAGCATAGTGAAATAATCCCAGGGAATCTAGGTGGTCCTCCTGGAGCAGGGTACCAGGAGCTCTCTTCTCAAATAAAATTTACATTTTTACAAATATGAGCCTGTGTCAGGGTCTTGCTGATACCTGGAAAACCTTCAAAATCTCTGTACTATTATCCTAATGCAGTACTTGGCTGCTTTTTAATTGTAATCTGTTTAGTAACCACAGTCTCCTTTCCCCCAGCTATACAGGCATCTTCTTTTAGGATCAAGCTTCATATCCCTCAGCCCTGCTTTTTGCTATAGATTCTTACTATAAATATGACTGATAGAAGTGACCAGTTATTACGCTACAACCAGAACATGGGGCTCTCTTTAAATTTCCTCTGCCACTTAAATAGTCTGTGTCCACTAAATGAAGCATCACATAGATTTGTAGGACATGGAAAGACCTAAGCAAATTCTTTCCCAGGATGAAACGTGCATAGCCTCTAGTCGAATTATTTTTGTGCCCAACTGAAACCTCCTGAGTCTGGCCTTTACTCTTCCCACTCCGTCAGCACTCTGGTCTTCTAAAATCCAGGCAGAATTATCCATCAAGCTTAGTATCTCTAGCCTGCTTATGTAAACTTTTCTAAACTCCTCCTGAGAACAAATTCCAAAGGTACCTCATGGTCAAATAGTCACTGTAATGACCCCGCTTCTCTGGTACCAATCCCAGTTCTCTGGTACCAGTCCATTTTACACCTATAGACAATAGGAGAAAAGGTTTTTAGGCTTACAATTTCCAATGAGTTCAGTCTAAAATCAGCTGAATCTAAGGCAAAAGTGGCCAAGGAGAAGGGATGCTGGAGAAGAGCTGTCAAACCATAGCAGCAAAAAAGCGGAGAGCAAAGGGAAAATGTGGCAACAAGAATAAACCCTTCCAGCTGCTGAGCCTCTTCCAACCCAGAGCCTGCTCCTAAGAGCACGTTTGGCTACACTGCTGTAATCTGGGCACCTTTCAGAGGTCCCACCTGTGGCTATAGGAGACTTCAAGGGAGGAGGGCATTTTAGAGCTGAACCATAACAAGACTGCAGTAGTAGTAACAAAAGTGGTAGAAGTGATTCTAAACATCACTTTGTGGGCTTTTCTGATAATTTGAATGTTAGATGGATAAGAAAGAAATGAAATAGAGATTACTGAAAACGTCTTGCTGAACAGTTGGAAGGACAGTATTGTTATCCATCAGAAAAAAGAAGGCTGTCAGAAGCACCTGCTCTGAGAAGATGAGGAATTCCACTTTGGACCGCAGACTTTGAGACACGTGTTAAGCATTCAAATGAAGAAGTGGAAAGGACAGTGGGACCCCATAAATCCATAGCTATCGATTATGTTTTCAACATATAGGTGGGTGTCTAAAGCCAGGAGTGGAAGAGATTTCAAGGGAGTACAGAAATTCAAAAGAACAGACTGATCCTTGAACAAACCAAAGTAAGATGTGTAAGGTGTGTGTTTGTGATCCCAGCTGCTGAGGAAATTGAGGCAGGAGGATCGCAAGTTCAAGGCCAACCCAGGAAACTTACCAAGACCTGTCTCTAAAGAAAACAAAAATCTAAGAAAAGTTCAGAGGACTAGGTTGGCAGTAGTGAGCACTTTCCTAACACGTGCAAAGCTCTGGCCTCAATCTCCATTCATCCCCCACGGAAAAAAGAAAGTTGAGAATGGGTAAGTACTTAATTAGGAGAAAATTCAAATACACGTGATGTACTGAACATCCAGGAAAAATGTGCATGAATAAGACAGAGAAACTCAAGTGCTTATAGGTAAGGTGAGATGACTGAGGGCAGGTTGCGCGTTGTATTTATCAAAGTGTGTCCCCTGTGACCTTGGAGAGGGAAATCTCTGGAAAGGTAGAGTCAAAAGACTTCAACATCTAAACTTAACTCACACATCTGGTGAAAAACCTTCCATGTCTCTTTCATGTCCTCATTTCATTGTTGTTGTTGCTAACACTGTGATGGTGGTTGTTGTTATGAGCCAGCTACACCTCCTGTCTTTGGTATGTCTACAGATGTGCCTTTTTGTCTTTTCTAATATAGTGGTGAAGATCAGCAAGTAAGATGTCAAAAAGGTGATATTTTTAGTATCACTATTACCTTTCTACAACATCTGGGTATCCCTTAATATCTCTGCCTTCTTTCTGTCTGTTAGTATGTACCTTGAAGGGCTGTATTTTAGTTACGTTTTACTCATTACTAAGACAAAATACCTGATGCCCAAAGTTGGGAAAGGGAAGGTTTATTTCTTTACAGTTTTTGGAGGTTTCAGTCCATACTCAGTTGGCTCCAAGGCAGAGTGGCATGGCAGGGCCGCAGTTCATGGTGGCTGCAAACAGCAAGGTGGAAATGACAAGAGAGAGAGACTCGCCTTCGTCATGCTATTACATTGTATGCTGGCTCCACTCCTATGTTGACACCATCAATCCAAGTGCTAGAGAGTGAGCCAATTACAAAAGCACAATGCAAGCGCATGAGGCCTGGGGGCCACCAACATAAACCATGACAGGCTGTGAGGCTAAAATGCACTTAATGGTACATTCAGCTTATAGCAAGTGTAAAGTGCTACCTCTCATTACCATGCAGCACCCCCCATGCCCCCCTCCCCCCGTGTGTCTCCTAGTGCTACAGCTATCAATAACATATTCCTGGAAGCCTCATAGCTTTTCCATTCATTGAAAGAAAGACTGGCAGCACCCTTCTGCCTCTAGGCTTGGGAGTCACTGGTATTGTGAATCACACAATTAAACATATTCTATTTGAATAGTGGAGGTCACCAAAGCTCTTGAAATAACCTAGCCTTGAGGATGACCATCCTGAAGAGGGACATCTTAAACATATTTTCTGATGCTTCTTCACCTTAAGAGCACTTGGTTTCTCAAACCCGTAAACCCTGGATCTCCCTGGTTCCCACTTCTTTTACCTGGAGCTGTGTTTGTGTCCCTAGAAGGCTCCCACAACAGCAGCCATCTCTTAAGGCAGACAGTTAGCTAAAAATTTCTTAGTCTTTGAAATCTAGACTGAGCCATTAGGTAGGGCACAGGGTGTCATGTAGTCTGATGAGCTGTGATAAGTAAACCACTCCTGTTGGCATGCAGTCCCAAGTCCTAGGGGCACGTATTCCCTGAAGGAAGCAACTCCAGCACTATGGAGCCTAAATTTAGGAAAGCAGTATCTGTTCTGCTAATTTAGCATAAGAGTTAAATTGGTTTCATTTTGTTGTACACATGTTCTTTTAATTTTAGAATCTTTGTATTTGAAGTACAAATTGTAAGTAGTTAGATAAAATAACATATGGTTAGCCTTTATGTGTGTACATAGTGTAGTAAATACACTTTATAGCTAATAATACTTTATTGGTCCTTATTGAGCAAATTATATACATATCAATGCCAGTATCAATGAACTCCAGTTTCAGATTCTGGAAAATCACTTCTTAGCCCATCTCCTGGGGTAGCTCACAGGTTCCATTATTTATCTTCTCATATCTGGCAGCAGAAATACATGAGGCACTGTGGCACACACCTGTAACCTCAACACACAGGAAGCTGAAACAGGAGGATCCTGTGAGAATAGCTTGGTCTACAGTACCAGTTCAAGCTTGGACTAGACTACCTAACAAGACCCTGTCTCAACAAAACAGCAGCAACAGAAAAATACAAAACTACATTTTTATGTTGCTTTGCTAGAGACTGTAACCAAAATCTGTGCTTCTGTAGCTACACAATTAATATGCATTCCTTTATTTTCAGAATGACATGAATTACATAGCATCCAGTGGACTTCTATTCAAAGATGGCAAAAAGCGAATTGATTACATCCTGGTTTATAGAAAGACGAACATACAGTATGACAAGAGGAACACATTTGAGAAGAACCTCAGAGCGGAAGGCCTGATGCTGGAGAAGGAGGTGGGTGCTTCACTGATTTTAGTGCGTGGTGTAACACTCTGGAGCACAAGCGGTCACTCAGGCTTCCGTACTGAAAGTGCATTTTACAGCACGTGGTGCTATAAATTATATGGTGATTTTCTCCAGTTCCAATATGAATGGTGGTTCCATTTAAATAGAAGTGTTTTCACTCTACATCTGTTTGTGTTCAGTGTAAATACTCTCCAAGGTCATTTCTACAATTTTAAAAACTGAGTAAGCAATGATCATCCCTTTGTAAAGTAAGTAAAACAAATCCAATGAAAAGAAAACTATGAGAAAAGAAATACAAACTGCTAATATGCGCGTTTTATTTCTGCAAATATCATTACTGTTCCCCTCAACCTTTCTTTTTTCATGCTTATAAAAATTCCCTTAAAGGATTTATTTTCTTTTTAGCAAAAGTCACTGGGAAAGAAAACTAGAAAAGATACGAAATTATATCCTTATAGTTCTATAATCCAAAACTTACCAGGATTGTTATCTCAGTTCAACTTTCTGTGACTTTAAAACACACACTTATTTATATTAGAGAAAGGATTTTTAAAAATACCTTTATGTGAAGGATTACAACAGGAGAGTAAGAATATGTACCTCCCATTTCCCAGTCCATACTCTTCTTTGGTGGCCTTGTCAACACAGTATTTTTTTTTCCTAATAGGAGCTTTTCAATAGATTTCCTATATATAAGCAAATACATGCATATATATATATATATATATATATATATATATATATATATAGTGAAAAATCAATTATATTTATGACATTTATACTTTTCTGCTACTCAGTTGTATTGTAAGCTGTGTACGATGACTGTATTACCTACCTGCTAACATTCAGAGTCAACTGACTTTTATTTTTGGCTTGGTGTGTGATATTGTATCTTGGGGATTTAGTTTGCCATCCTCTTCAGAGAAAGAGATATAAATTAAATACTAGAGAGATGCTTAAATTATCCTCTCTGGGGTTTAATTAACTCTATTTTTAAAAATGGAAGTCATGATGTTTAAAAAAAGCCTGATTATTTCCTTGATTAGATACCTAGATAATTTTATAAGAGGTAAACACCGTGTTAACACTGTGTTAATAGTTAGAGGACTACAGAACTTTCCTCCCAATTTTTTATTTCAAAAATATCATAGAACATTTTCCCCAAGGAACACATGTTAGAAAGTACTCATCTGTAGCCTGCTTAGAGAAGTTTATTAAAAACTCTTTTATTGGGGGTGGGAATTTAGCTCAGCAGCATGAGCGCCTGCCTTGCAAGCAGGCAGTCGTGAGTTCGATCCCTGGTACCGATAAAAAGGAAAAAGACAAAAAAAGAAAAAAAAAAACTTTTATTAGGTATAAAATGGCAGACACACTGTGACTTCCCTCTGTGGGGAAGGAATTACACACAGGTTGCCCAGTATTGCCGAGGGACATGGGAGACTCTGGCTTCTGTTTCCTACTGGCTCCTTTGCTGGTGTCTTTGCTGTGCCTGCTCTGGGAAGCAGGGTCCCTGTCACTGAGCACTGATGAAGCCAAGAAATCTTTACTGGAAAAACACCTCATGAGTTAAGGCTGGTGCTCTGCACAGCGGTGCCCATTTCTCTGCTGTTGTTCCCTGACAGAGAGGCTTTTCATTCCAGCCCACTTCACCTTTGCTTACTCAGGATGCATTCCCACAGTGCCGGGAAGTGCCCAGGAAGCTGGGTAGCAGGTGCGTTCAAATACAGCTGCTCACCAGCCCTGCAAACTGCGCCATTGTGTGGAACATAATTTCTAAACCGACTTGATTTCCTTTTTCCTCTTTCATGTCTCCTGGTTAAGGTAGATGACTTCATTTCCGAGTGGTAAAATGGTTAAGGGTACCACCTTTCCCCAGGTTCCACATGGAATGTTGGCTTTGAAAGTGAACTGATGCACTTTTGTATCTTCTCTTTCAAGAAGTCTTATAGAGACTCTATAAGAAACTGCACCTGTGCTTGCAAAGTAAGAAAGACAGATCCCTTCCATCTCACACTTGGTTACCCAAGAAACTATGTCAGAGATTTTGCACAATGAAGACCAAAGCATTTAAAATGACTTTGCATCTCTGCATGGTGGTAAAATATTTGAACTACAGTCATCTTGATAATTTCAAGCTCTGATCAGTGACCTAGAGGAGAACTGAGAGGGGTTAGCAGGGCTTGTAACATGAGCCATAGTCTGATCTGGATAACAAAAGATGCTCTGAAGGAAAGGAGGCGGTCCCATTTAAAAAGTAAGCTTTGAGATGAGATTTGAGAGTGGATAGCACTGAGAAGCAAGTGACTGAAGGGGCCGGTGGGTTTTCAAGACTGGCTGAACTCAGAACCACGCGTTGACCTTCTGAACTGCCGATGCCATACCCGCCAGCATGGACCAAGCGAATGTCAGGGTGGGCATGGTGGAAAGAACGATGGTGAAGTTGTTTTCTAACACCAGAAAAGAAGGGTAGAGCATGAGGTTGGAAAGAGTAGCTGGAGTTAACTCACCTGTATCACCCTTAAGATTTTTGATTATCTTACTAGGACAAATGCAAACTATTGGATAATTTTAATCATGATAATGTTGTGTGGTTTCCAAAAAGATAATTCAGATTGCTAGAAAAGAGCATGGACTTCAAAGGCTTGGCTGGATGTATACAGTCATGGGTGCTATTAGAGATAGACATCAAAGGGCAGATTCTGATAGACATAGAATATCTGAATACACTTTGTGGTGTTTTGGGTATTGTAAAAAATGGATCTCATGGATGTTTTGGCTTTGGGTCTCAAGCAATTCAGTTTTCATTTAAGGAGCATTAATGTAGCATGTATTCCATGCCTTATTCTGGGAACAAATAGAAACCAAAAGAAAAATGGACCATATCCTCATAGGAGGAACATTATCAACAATTAACAAATTATCAACAAATAAAAAGGACAAAGTACATGGTGAGGGGTGAAACCCTACATATAGAATAAGATGATGTCACACACAGCGTGGGCTATGACAGTGTGTGTGAGCAGAAGAAAGGGAACCAAGTGGACAGGAGTCCAGTGTGGGAGGACGAGGAGGAGAAACGCTACCTGCAGAAACTACTGCTGACCATTCAAGAGGTGATTTGTGCAAATGGGGCAGGGGTCACAGGAATGAGAAGCTCCTACTGGGTGCCCATGAGAAATGCAAACAGAAATACTTGGAGTTTGTGTCCAGAAGTGTGGAGTCGGACCTGAGGATGCTTTAGTCTTTAGGACATGAGTACTAACAGAAACGGTGCCTTTGCATAAACTCCCCAGACAGAGTACAGAGAAAGCTCAAGCAGGATCTGACCCTTGAGGGCTGGAAAGGAGACAGAAGTCAGCAGGAGTTGGGCAGGGAGAGAGCAAGAGATGAGGAGCCCACAGCAGGGTTGCGCTTGGCTAAAATCCTGCTGAGGAGACCAGTGAGAGGCCCGTTCTTTAGAGACAAGAAACTCTTGGTCAGCAGTAAGATGGGTCCAGAGGCCGGACCTCAGACTGCAGTGAAGGAGAAGTGAAGCAGCTGGAGAGAGACAGAGGCAAAGCCTGGCCTGCTCCTCTGAGCAGCCAGAGAGGAGCGCAGAGCTCTGGGGAGAGCTCACTTTTTTGCTCCTTCATTCACCTTTTAATGTATTTGATTCTATTTTCCATAGAAGGATCAAATGATGACAGTGAGCTCTAGGAGAAGAGAGGGAAAGAACACGAGGGAATAAAGGAGAGGAGCTGGGGAGAGAGGAGAGAAGGGGGAGATGAGGAAGAGGAGATGGAGGGAAGGGGAAATAAGAGGGAAGAAAAGAGCACCCGCAGAAACACCTTTTGGGAAAAGCAAGGGGAGATTCAGAACAGGGACTACCAAGAAAAGTCAAGATTTGGGAATTGTATGTTAAATATAATATTTTACAAATATTTATTGTACTTGTCCCAGATATTTTTATAAAAAGGTTGTATTATTACTTGCATTTCTAATCTTTGGAGTAACAACTTTTTTTTCTCTAGTATTGAGGACTGAACCCAGGGCCTCTGCACTATAATCTCTTTCTTTCTTTCTTTCTTTCTTTCTTTCTTTCTTTCTTTCTTTCTTTCTTTCTTTCTTTCTTTCTTTCTTTCATTAATTTGAGCCAGGCTTTTCCTAAATTGCTGAGCTCCCTAGGCTGGGCTGAAGTTCGTCTTCCTCCTCCCTTCTTCTCCCAGGGTACATGGGCAGAGCCCACCAGCCCAGCAACATTTTTAAAGTTTGTGTTTTGATTGTTAACTGTGTTTTTCTTTCTGTCAGTCCCCCATGTTTGCAGTGTGTAAAGGTGCCTTTCTCAGGGGCACTGGTCCATGGACAGAGCGTAGCTCCATTCCTTCCCCAACCCCTCTCTCCTCCCTGATCCTTCCCCTATCTCTGAGTCCCTGCCCCTTTGCTAAAGATCCAGCTCCCTGCTTCCTATTGTCCATCTTTCATTTTATAAATCAAAAGCAAAATAAAAGCTTAACAGTCTGAGTTTATTGAAGCTAGATTTTTATTTCCCAGGTAGGGTTTAAAGTAACCTGTTTGGACAGATTATGTCATAAAAAGTGCTACCTTAAGGTTTACAAATGGAGAGTCCTGGAAACGGATCCTTTGGGTTTACCATGGATGTGAAGCTAGTGGTTTCCTTCACTGCTGCGAGTCAAAAGCCGGAGCATGGCCCAGAGCTTGGAGCCAGGGCACTGGCAGCCTGCAGGCCAGCAGCTGGCATCTGCAGTGCCCTGTAAGCTTCCCAGTTCAGCCTCCTCCTGTGCACTGCGCCCCTTCCAATTGCCACTCTGTGCCAGGAAGGGCCCAGGCCATCCCGGGACTTGGGGACCCTGGAGAAGACTCCTATTCCTAGTCAAAGGTGTCCTGGAAGGCACCAAGGGAACCTCACCATGACAGCCACCCTCCCTCTTATTCACAGGCACCAGCATAGTGACAAGCAAGGACCGTGTTAAACTCAGACCCTTGAAGCC